GCTCCCTCTTGAAATGGGTTGGGCTGGCAAAGTGCAACGGGAAGGTCGGGGCCCTGGAGACGCTCTCGGGCCGCTGAGCGGGAGCAGCTCCTGGGCAGCCCAGACTCCGCAGCCCAAGAGGTCTCCGGAACGCCGTCGAGCCCCTGGAGCTCTTGGTCTAGCCGGCCGGGCAGGCATCGGAACCGGGGAGCGCCGCTCCGAGGCCCGCCACTGTAAATGCCGCGGAGTTGGAGGGCCCGCCATCCACCGGGCCCCACCTTCTCCCCAAGCACATGCAGCGAGGCCAGCAGCCCCAACCGTCTCCGGCCCGCGAAGCCGCCGTCTGCCAGCGCCCCTGGCCTCCTCGGCTGGTCGGGGGGGGGGGGTGACCGCACCCACCGGCCGCGTGTTGCCTGGTTTCTGGGCTGCTGGCAGGCGCTTCCCTGTGGAAACAGACACCTGCCAGCCGCTGAATGGTTGAGCCCCACCCTCGATGGCCAATGGAAGCGCCGGCGCCGCAGAGAAACATAAAACGGCCAAGGGGGACCGGCGGGGCTCGTGGCCCTGCGCAGGGCATCCCTCTCCAGGCAGCCGCGACGCTCCCCTGGCACCCCCGGATGCCCTTGCCCCGTGGGGTCCCAGCCTAGATCCTGGTACGTTCGGAGCGGTGCTCCAACTGCCAGAGGTCAGCCTTCGAGGCCCCGGGAGATTCCCGGCCTCGCCGCCGCGCTCGGCCAGTCAAAAACGAGCCTCCCCGCATCCTTTGCGCGGACGGGGCTCAACGGGCCAATTCCGCCCGCCTTAGGCGGAGAGCGCGGCCAACGTGCCCCGCCAACTGGAGGCGGACGAGAAGGCCTGGCGAGCCGTCCGGGTAGCTCGGCGCTGCCTCTCCCGGACCATCCCCCACTCCCCGGGAATGACCTCATCGCGAGGCGGCCTGCGCAGGGAGGGATGGAGGGAGGCTGTCACTGGGCAAATTCACTTGCGCCGCAGCCGCCGAGGCGAGGCGTTCGTCCTGGGCAGCCCGGCGCATGTGCCAGCCGACCCCCCCCCCCCAGAAGCAATAAACAGTGATGTCAGCGTGGGGTGGGGGGAGAGCGCAACAGAGACAGCAGCAAAAGCGCCCCCTGCAACCCTCCGCCTCGCGTCGCCATTGGCTGCAGCCCGGCTCCAGTCCCGGCGACGCGGCGCTCGTTGGCTCGGCGGTGGTGGGGCTCAGCCAGCCAGGCAGCGGGATCCCTCCACCGGAGGTCACGCGAGCAGCAGCTCGGGGGAGGAGGGAGGCCAGCGAGCGAGCGACGACAGGCCCGCCCCGGCGCAGGGCCCACTAGTGCCTGAATGCCGCGCGACCCTTCGCTGCGCGCCAGCTCGGCAAAAACAAACGAGCCGTGGGCGAGCCTGTCCGGAGCTGTGCTCCGTGCTCAACGCCTCTGAAGGCTCAGCCCGGGCCAGGGAAGCGGTCCGACGGCTCTGGCCGGCAGCCGACAGGAGGAAGCGCTGTCCCCTCACCGCTTTCCCAGCGGACTGGCCGGTGCTGGCGGGAGGCGCGGGCGGGCCTGGGCCCTTTGCTGGAGAAGAGCCTCCTTTTTCGGCCCAGTCGGGGGCTTAACAGAGTGACCAGAACCGGCCCCGCGCACTGTTGGAGCAAAGAGGGGCTCCTGCTGTAGGGCATCCCCATAAAGACCCACTAAAGCCCCGCGCCTTACCCAAGGGCCTCCCGGCTAAAACAACCTCTACTTGTCCCACCGCGGAGGAGTCCCGGTCGCCCCTCTGCCCACTTTCCCAGGGAAACCGAAGGCGGCGGGCTCCCAGAAGCGGCTCGGAGGGTGGCCTGGGCCCCTCGCTTACGGACGGGCTCCCGGAGCTTCCCGTCTGCGGGAATCTCCGCTCGGCTCACAGTCCCGCTGTGCCGGCAGGAAAACCCGGGCTCGACTCCACAGAGGTCACCCGCCTTTGTCTGCCCTTTCCCGAACCTCCAGAGACGGGGCTGGAGGGCCGATTGGCCCTGGGAGGGCGAGTTCTGCCCCAAAGATTGGGGGCGCGACCTCAGGCCGATGCGGGGCCGCTACCACGGAGCGCCCTCGCGAGCCCGGCTCCCGCTGTCCCTGAGCTCGTGCCTTCGAGGCCGCCGCAGCAGCGGGGCTGGCCAGAATAGCGGGCGGGGTGGGGACGAGCGCCGAGCCGGAGAGGCGGCCGGGCAGGGCCCCCTCGCCCCTCCCGCGGGGGGATCCCCGGCTCTGGCACAAGTCCGAACTTGCCTGGGGGCGGGGTCGGTGACGTCACGACGGGCGGGGTCTGCGGGCTGGCAGCTCTGCTCCGCGCGGCTGCCTGGCTCGCAGCGAGGATCGTCCCGCCGCCGCGTCCGCTTGCCCTGCCTCGCCCGTGCCGCCGCTTGCGCCGCCCGTGCCAGTCGGAGCCCCGCTACCCCTGAGCCGCCCCGGAGGGTTCATGCAGCTGCAGTAAGTGCGGGAGGACGCCGCGGCGGGCCGGCGGGACTCGGTCGGGGCGCAGCGGGGCTGGAATCAGGGCGTCGCCTCCTGTTGGGGCGGGCAGAGGCCCCCCCGTGCCCAGGGCAACCCTGGAGCCGAGACGGGCGGGTGCCGAACCGCCGCTTGATTTGTTTACAAACACGGGGCTCGGCGCGGCCGTTCTGCTCCGCCCCTTGGCTGGGTCGCCGAGCCTCTGCCGCCTTTCCCGCGGGCAGGCGGGCGCTTCGTGGCTCTGTGCCTTGACCGTTCTTTGCCCGGCAGATCCCCCCGAGCGCCATGGCTAGACCATTGCAGGACCGGAGCCGAGCCCAGCCGACAGCAACTGTGCCCCGGAGCCCAACCTTCCCTGTGGGGGGGACGCTGGCCCTGCCGCCCTCCGTCAGCCGCCCGCCGCTCGCCTTGTCACCCGGGCTGAACTGCCTCTATCGCTGCGGCCGGGCACTGGAGCCTCCCGGGAGCGCCCGTGGTGAGTGCTTTGGCTCCGCGCATCGGCCAGGGTAGCTGATGGTCCCGCCGCCCAGCTTCGTCGACTTTGCCCCAAGCCTTGCCTGGAGCGCGGCCCGACTGCTCTGCTTCTGCGTTGCCTCCGCGGCTGCCCCGACAAGCCATGGCTGGAGCTAGTGCCGTGCTGCGCCTCTAGCGAAGCTTTTTTGGGGGGGAAACCTGCCTCGGCCCCGTCCTGGAGCCTCTCCGGCTTCCCCAGCCCTCTACCAAAGCAGCACCACCGGCAGGACAGCCCTCTGGAGTCCGGGAAGAGGCTGGAGATGGCGGGAGCAGCGGCCGAGGGGGCGGTGCCCGCAGCCTCCACTGGGGTCCTGCCAGGGTCCTCCGCAGCTCCTAGGTGACACCGGGGCAGGCAGCAACACTCCTGCACTGCTGGCATGGGGGTCCCCCCTGCCTGCCCTTGGGATCCCCCAGCCGTGCTGAGTGCAGAGCAAAGCCCTGTCCTGAAATGCCGGCCTTAAGCTGCAGCAGCCCCGGTTGCCAAGGAGATAGGAAGCCCCACTGGGACTGCCTCCCCCACCCCATGCCTCCTGCTCCTGCCAAAAGGACCCCTTGCCCGCCTCACCTCCCTTTCCTTCTCCTCCACAGCCAGCGTGCAGCCCACAGCCTCCTGCGCCCAAGAGGAAGCCCCCACAGAGCCCGAGCAAAGCGCAAGGGGGCTTAATGGGCACCTCACAAGAACCCCGCTCAGCCTGGAGCAGGCCATCGGGGCTCGGCTTCGCCACATGGGAGACTGTTTCCATCAAGACCACGAAGAGAGGGTAAGCTTTGGGGGCAGAGCAATCTCTCCCCCTTGGGGAATCCAGCTTCCTGGCTTGGAGTTGCTGCCGCCTGGGCCAGAAAGGGACCAACCGGGGTGTGGGGTCACGTCAGTGATGCACAGGGCCCAGCCCAGCAGCAATTCAGAGTGTGTGTGTGTATGTATATATACTTGTGTGTTTAAGGCAGCAGCAGCAGCAGCAGGGCGTTTGTCCTTTGGAGCACCTGGATAGGGAGTGGGAGTGATCAGCCCTGTCGCCGCTCAAGTCTTTCCTTGTGTCCCCCTCTGGCAAATTTAGGAGCGCAGGCCTCGGGGAGCCCTCTTGGCCCACTTGTACCACCTGGTCTTCCACCTACTGGGCATCTTGGACAACCTACCTGCCAGGGGGTGACAGAAGAGCCTTGGAGCGGAGAGCCATCCACTGAGCTGCTTTGGGACTTCTCTTCCTGCTGGCCAGGAGAACAGCAGCCTCGGTCGAAGAACAGATGCCCGCCAACAGCCGGCCTCGAACTCACCATGCTCGGAGTTTGCCCCCAGCCCAGCAGTGCCTTATGGGGAGCTGCACAGATGGGTGGGGGTGAGACAAGTTAGCACTATGTGAATATTTTCCACTGAGCTTGTGGATTCGCGGGTTGGGGGAGAAGAAAATTGCACTTGCCACCTCAACTCAAGAGGGGCGGCCGACAATGGCCACTGTAAATAGGCCCTGGACTCTCTTATGCAGAAGAGGTAGGTGGGGGGGAGGGGGCGGCGAGAGAAGAGAACCTGCACACGGGTGCAGCTGCTGCTGCTGCTGTGTGTACATAGACAGTCTTCATGCCTGCGCACAGGATACAACTGGGTGCTACCTGTACATAGCTGAGGGGTTGGGTTGTCCGTATCTTGTGGAGAGGTGGAAATTTTTTTGTATATTTCCTTTTCAATAAAACCGGATGAAAGCAGAAACGGCACCAGCCTCTTTTATCCTATGGAGCAATGTAGGCCAAGGAGGTGCCAATGGGTGAGGAATGGCCACCCCCCCCCCCCCCGATGCTTGTGGGAGAACAAGAACTGCAAGGGGAAGGAAGGGCGGGAGAGGGGAGCCAGGCCAGGCTGGAAAGCTGCTCTCTTTGCAAGGAAACCGAGGGGCAGCAGCAGCAGCACCAGGCATCATCTCTTCTGAAGCTGCACCTTCCTTCCCCAAGGCTGGGGGACCCTGTTCTCTCCCCCCCACCACCATTTAAAGGGGATCTTGTGAGGAAATCACTGCCAGAGAGACTCGGTAACCAAATAAGTATTTATTTGGGCTAAGATGGGAAGAGACGTGAGGAGGGGTGGCTGTTCAGGAAGGGAATCCGTCACTAAGCCCACATAGTTCAGGATGGGAGGGTGGGGGCCAGGCACTCTACCACCCCGCTGCCCTTCATGCCGTTGAAGAAGAAGAAATTGTTGAGGGGAGGGTCCCGCTGTGAGAGAGCCTAGAAATAAGACAAAATACAGGCAGGATAAGGCAGGCCTGCAGGCAGCAGGAAGCCCTTTGTGCCCCTTCTGCCCTGTCTGCCAACGAAGACCCTCTTGATAGGAAAGCTCTGCGGAGCAACAGGGTTCGCTTTTCCAGTGCTTCAATCCATCCCACCCCCCACGCAGGGGAGAGCCTTTGCCAAGCAGCAGGCAAGCCCAGTCTTGGCCTGGGAGGTGCCTTCCCCAGGAAAGGCTCTGCTGCCTTCAGTTCAGGACCAGAGGCGGCCGGGGGGGGGGGGGGGGGGGCGGGGGGGGGGGGTGCGCGTGGGGTGGGGGGCAGAGAACATACCTTGACAGCCTCTTGGCTCAGCACCCCTCCAACCACAGCACAAACGGGGGCCATTTCTGAGAAGCAGCTGTGGATATCAGCAAAGAAGGGAAAGTCAGCCAGGGGGCAGAAAGCCTGTTGCTCCCAGGGGATCACGCAACCCCACATCGGCTGCGGGAGGTCCTAGACAGTTCTGCTAAGGGTACCCCTCGCCCAACAGCTGCCCCCTGCTGGCCTACTCAAAGGGAGGCCACATCCTTTTCTGCATTGGGTCAGCTGGCAGGAACCGATGGAGGCGAGCGGAGGGGGGGTTTCTCCGGCCACTTCTTCCCTCGTCCTCACAGAAGGCTAAAGAGGAAATGGGGGCCAGCATCGCCCACCGGTCTGCACTGGCTGCTGGACCCACCCAGGGGAACCAGCGCCTGCTTTCTGGCCCACACACACAGCGTCCTGAGCCAGTTTTTCTACAGGATGCCCATCCGCTGCCAAGACCACGTCTCGCTCTTTGGTCCCAAGGCCGAGGGGAGGGGGCTGTTGACCCACGGCAAGGCTGGCCCCCTAATTTGGCTAAAGGAAGAAAGGAGGCCCCTGCCTGGCAAAGTCGTCAACAATCAGGTCAGTTCCAACACCCAAGGAGGCCAGCACAGCCAAGCGCATCTGGCGCAGCGCTTCTGCATCCTCCTGGTAGCTCAGCGGAGAAGGGTCTCGCCCCTTTTCTGTCCGGAATTTGAAAAGCACTGCAACAGGAAGAGACCACAAATAGCCTGTTTTGCAAGGCATACACAGTGTGCCCAGAAGCCTGTAAGACTGGCACCACACCTGGCTCCCCCCTTATGTAGAGGCACCCATCTCTGCTCCCCTTAACCTGTCGAGAACCGCTGCTATTAAGCCAAAAGGCCGTGACCGCACTATGCCAAGTTTCATCTGGAACATCTCCATGTTCACGCAGCAGCACATGCACGAAAGCCTGTTTCCTGCCCTGACCCCTTCTGACATTCTTCTTCCCCACAACCAATGACACCAAAGAGGACCTGCGGATGACCGAAGAACAAAGAGGAACCGGACCAAAAAGCTAGTTTGGTCGAGAGATGAAGGCACCAGGCTGAAAAACTGGGAGGGTGCCAGTTCGAGTTCTGCCTTAGACATAAAAGGCACCAAAAAGCTGAGTTAGGTCGTTTTCTTGCAGACATTTCAGGACCAAACTAGGTAACCTCATCAGTGCTAGTGAAAGCATGGAAGTCAGCTGTGTGACTTAGGGGCAGTCATTCTCTTTCAGCCCAGCCCACCCCACAGGGTTGTCATTCCGGAGAAATAGGGAGATGGAGAAGTACTAGGTGTGTTCGATGTTTGACTTACTTATACAAATATTAAGTCGGGATTTTTAAGCCAGGCCCTACACCTTGCAACGCGCAGGCCGTCCATCTACATCGTGGAGGGAGGGGCCACTGCACTCTCTATGAATGCCTGGCCTGTTCCAGGGCCAATTCCCAGGGCGCTTTGCGTCTCCCTTGGACCACAAGGAGCTCACATGCCCGTCAGCTGGAGACTCCTCCATTGTCTGCTCCAGTGAGGAACCACATGATCCAGAAGGGAACACTCTCCTCCTAACCTGCTGTCCCACTGCCAGGCCAGATCTTGGCACAGGATTCCATCTCGGCTGCAGCTCTCACCTTGCAACAGGAAGTAATCGGGGGCAGTCCGCTTCAAGGCTGCTTTGGCCCCTTCACTGCTCCAACTGAGAGTCAGGGCATCTTTTAGGAGGCAAAAATGAACATTCTGGGGGGAAGAAAAGGACAGTGAGGCAACAGAGGCATTCAATCAGCTTCACTTAACCTGAAGGATGCTTTCAGCAGGTACCACCCCAGAAACTACAGGGAGCTAATGGAACTAAGGAGATGCACCAGGATCCGGGAGTTAAGGATTTTCACTTAGAATAACTTTATTGACACTTTAATTTTATTGTAACTCTGCTTTACTGTACAATTTGTCCGGCTTTCTGCCTCATTGGCTCTGTTCACAGGCAGCTCCAGTGAAGGGCCACCTATAAAGTGAAGGCAGCATTCTGGAAGTTGCCGAGAGGGTCTCCTCTGCCTGAAAGAGATGGGGCAGCGGCAGCCTTTTCTCCTGGCAGAACTCAGACCCTTTCTAGCAAACAGGAACGTACAGATGCAGATGGGTGGGTGGCTCCCTCCTTGGGATCCACAACACAAATACAAGATCACTAAGATCACCAAGCATTCAGTAGAATAAAGATATCCAAATAGCCAGTAGGAGATCCCGCTTGATGTTTTTCATTCTACCATTAAACAGCAACTGGTTTTCTAAAATCCTATCAGTGTGATGACATATTATCTTAAAAAAATTGAGGCCAGAAATTTGGGGGCTTCAACTAGAGAAATTTCAGAAGCCACCAGGGGCTAGTAGCCCCTCATTGGTTGTGTGTCTTCAAGCTCTTTTGAGCGGAGCATAGAGAACTACATCTGCCATCTGCAATATTTTAGAGATTAATGGGATATTCACTCTGCAATCCAATTCTTCTCTGCTATCCTATGTCGATCCAAGCTCACATCGGCATAGAAGCCCAAATGCATAGATCATGGTTTTCACCTGACAAATGCATTCAAGTGCATTTCTGCACTTTCCATTTCAACCCTTAAGTCCTTGGTGTCAATACAGGTTTGACTGATGGGTCAACCTCCCTAGAATGGCAAGCCATGACCAACTGAGGAATGAACCGAAAAGTGTGCAAGAAGCTGCCCCATGGAGTTCTCCTTTGCAGCAGGCTTTCAAATAAGCTTGCCTGGGTCTGTCACAGACGCTTTAGTAGATCGTGCCCTGCGCAGGGGTTAGACTAGTTGACCTTCTCAGATCCCCCAAAGGCCAAAAGTAACTGTGACAGGGGAGGCCAAGCAAACAGTGGAAATCTGCAGGACAAGGGTAGCTTGCCTGATGGGACTCTCAGCTGCAGGGAGTCCGTTTATAGCTTGGCCGTGAAAGGCATAAAACCTCCTACACCGCAAACAGAAGAAGAGCAGGCTCTGAAAGGAGGAGGAGGCCCACCTCCCCACCTTCTATGCTCCACAGACACAGGCTTCACCCACCTTCTTCACCAGGACTGTCTCTGCAACACCCAGTTTGGCTTTCTTGGCATCAGGGCCGCCCTGTCCTTCCTGGCTGGCTTTGGTAGCTTTTGTCTTTTCTCTGTAAAGCAGAGCCAGGCAGCGACCAAGGAGGTTAATATAGGAACGGCAGCCTTCTTGTCTTCCAGTACAGGTGCCCAAGAGGGCCCACTCTTGGACTCTTAGCCCCTCCCTGCCAGTTGTCTCATTCAGCCCCACAGACCTCAGATACAGGTGTCAGCCTCAGATTCCAAGGCAAGAGAAACTCACTCAACAAATTCATGTTCACCCAGGTTGGCAAACATGTAGCCGTGGTAGCCAAAGACGTCACCGGTGAAAAACTTGATGCCGTGTTTCTTGCATATTTGGTCCACCTTCAGAAGGACCTCCTGAGTGCAGCACGTCAGGCAAACCTGGAAGGCAAAAGACACCAGAGAGGACTTTGTCTCACTGACCGAAACAAGCAAACAGGAAGTCTGGCCCAAGCCGGTGCAACTCTTTTCTCTTCCCCTGAACAGAAGATCATTCTCCGGGGTCTTCCCAGACTTTCCCAGCCTCAGAGACACTCGGAGTTTGCTCACCAAACAGGCAGCCCGACGGCCTTGTGGAATTGGTGGGGAGAGAAGGGGGGGAGAGAAGGGGGGAAGAGAAGGTGGGGGAGAGAGAGCCCTCCTGGGCGAAAGGTCTGCCAGGACTCACCACATCAAAGCCAGTAAAGAATTCCTCCGGTTTCTGCTCAATATTCTCCGGATCCGCTTTCACCTCCACCATGGGATTGAGGTCCTGAAGACGCTCCAGGGACGCCTCCGCTCTGTTCTTCCCCGTGGAACCGGTTGGGAGCAGGAACTGGCTTCGGGCATCTTCCAGGGACACCTGGCAGGAGGAGGAGGAGGAGGAGGGTCGGGGCATCTTTCCCCTTCCGAGGGGAGAAGCCCCAGAGCCTACCGGGCTCCCTCCACCCGCGCTTCCCTTCCACCCGCACAGCCGAAGAAGCAGCCCAGCCAAACGGGCGGCCTCCTCCTCCTCCTCCTCCCGCGGCTCCCATCGCCACGCGCGCCCCGGCCCAGCACGCGCCCCGGCCCAGC